TATAGGCCTGGTTCGGTTCAGGGGCTTTCATCTTACATCTGCCTGTGTGCAGTTTGGAGGTGCAAGATACCTGAGAGTGTAATGTTAATTTTGCCTGTGATCCTTTGAATAAATCAGCACTGTTTTGAAGTTACTTGGACTGTCTCGTCTCTCAGAGTTAGCAATGGTAAGAAGAACCAAATAGTCCTACACACCTTTCATCTGAACAAGAGTGCAAAACTATCAGTGTCTTTCCAGAGAGACTGCCTGAAAAAAAAATGCTGCATTACATTCCATTTTCATGTACGGATTTCAATAACATCATGTCTCCGCTTTGTGGCAGCCAGCTTTCCACTCCGCCTTTGAGTGTGGCTGTTTGGATCACATAAAAACAGTTTTCATGTCCAACATGGTTAGACAGCACATCTTACAAACTAGTTGTGACAGAGCACAAACTAACCTTAAGTACAGCTTCAGAGAGTCACTAGCAAGACTGTAGACCCTCAAGGGTGATTCACACTTGTTCAGAAAGCTGGGAGAGTAACAGCCACTATTCCCTGTGAATAGGACCTGGCTGTGTGACTTCCACTGAACTGACAGGACCTTAAACTGTCCAGCTACAGGAGAAAGTTGAAGCTCACTTCTATGCAAATTTCCTCTGATGCAGTGCGAGTGACAGCCAAGATCCCCTTGATTATGAAATGAAATGAAAGCACACAGTTGTTTACTACTCCACTCCACTATGCAAAGGAGGAAAAGCCGATTCTTGCAGTCTACAACACGTCTTTAACGTGTTATTGTGTCATAAAAAAAGAAAAACAGTGTTTGGAAAGAAATCACAAACACTGTCAGTATATTAGTATAGAAGTTATGGCTACACTGGTGGTTACTGCTCAAGTTGTGTGTCTGTTGGAGTCAGGTGAAAGGATGTCCGTGGTGAATAAAAAGTTATAATAAGTAAGTGAAACAATGGGCAAAGGCACCAAAATAAAATAAAATAAAATAAGAAACGCATTTCCTTGAAGGCTTTTGTGGTTTGGTGGAGCATCTGAGAAGGGGGAATCAATAATTCTTAAAAGGCATCAAATGACAAGGTTCTGTTCTATTTCCCATTTCATCCCTTAAGTTGAACATTTTATAAACATACATTGTCTTCACTGCTGCAGGCTTTTGTTTGTTTGGCCTGTGCTCAAAAACGTCAAAGCCCTCAGGCCTGGACTGGAAAGGTCTTAGTTTTTATTTTTACACTGCAGCTTGATAAACTGGAATTTTCAGGTCCAAGTTACAACTGATGTTGGGACTCAGATATTTCCTTCAAACTATGTTCAGCTCTTTACTACCTGCTTTATATCGTCTCCTCTCACTTTTTGAATTATGTGACTCCTCAGACAATATTTTAGTAGTTATTCAGTCTGCCTGCTTTATATTCAACTACCAGAATCTCATTAATATCTTTGCTATATAAATATTGACCATAGTTGAATAGGGCTTCATCTAAATGCACAGGAGAAAACAACAATGTAATCGACTGTAATAACTGGAGTGGGCACTCCAAATGTGGATAGTGGAAATTATGCAAACACAGTGTGAAGGTCTGTGTTTAAGATGAGCATGTGTACTCAAGACAAGAAGTTGGAGTGGCCTCATGCTGGGAGGAAATCTGTACTACTTATCCCTGTTAGCTGGGAGACATTTATGTCTTTGTTCTCCCCAGCGGGGTCTCTAGGATCTCCGTCAGTGCAGAGGCTAACATCAGAAAGAGCTGCTCTATTATCTGTTTCAAAGCTTTCTGGAAGGGTGTTGTGTCACTCCCAGCCAACATCTGGGTGTCACATATCTGTGTAGTTGATATGAATGTTTTGTCTATTAGCCATCACAAAGAAAAACACCTATTATGCTAAGTAGCCAAGAGGAAAACCACACAGAGAGATGCACTGAGGTGAATGACCAGCCGTACTCAGCAGGGGGGATGGGTGTAAACACCACACGCTTTCAAGGAGTCTGAGCCCTGCTCTTAGCTGCCACGTTGACCCCGTGCTTGACCTTGTTGCCCTGAGGTGCCCCCAGTTCTTGGAGCTCCAGATGCTTTTCCCTGCAGGGTAGCTGCTGTCAGAGCATCCAACAACTCTCCCCAATAGTCATCGTCATGCAGACAATGCAAAGGATGAATGAGATGAGGAAGGACGAGATAGTCTGTAGAAACCCAGAGGGTGGCCTCATACTGCCCAAGAAAAAAAAAAAGAATCAAACAACTTAATTTCAGGCCGTTTCTTTTGTTAATTTCATGCAGTGCTGCACACTTTTTTTTCTTCAGATGTCTTTTCTTCTGTGAAAACAACACCCATTCTTTTGGGGACTGCTCACTTCACACTTTCCATTCACAATTATTTGAGTCTGTCCAGTCAGCTGTTACAGTGCAATGCTCAGTCTATCCCCAAAACCATTTCTACTCAGATTTTCCAGTCTCTAGAGCAATGCCTGATTGTCTGATTCACACATCTTATAGACAAGCCACAAATGTGCTCCACAAAAGCAAAAAAAGAAAACCCAGAAAGCCAGCTTTTTCTTTTCCACTAATGACTTCATCTGGAAACATGAATCTCACCTCACTTCCCTCCTCTCTGACTCACCCTGGAGCACATCACTTTCTGCTGGAATCTAATTGACCCAATTAATAATAGCGGTTGGGTGATTTTAAGTGAGCCAGTGCTGAAAAATAAAGATGTGGGCCTTTCTAATTTAACCGAAGCACTGTAACACAACACCAGGCTTATAAGTGTTGTCTGCACTGGCTGCCATGAATCTACACTGGCCTCTCTCCAAGCTTTTTAATAAAGGGAGGAAAGACAAAGACAGAAAAGTGAGGCAGCTCACTTTTGTCTTTGCAGTCCAGCAGCTCTGCGGGGGCTTTGGCATCTGAGAACCTCCAAAGCACACACACTGACGCTAATGGACTAGAGAGGCTGCTGCTCCATTTGGATTAACACTCTCTGCTAACAATTCGGAGATAATTAGGATTGAATGGGTGTGCAAGGGCCAAGTTAAAACAGTTTCCACAAAGAAAGCGTGTGTTCAAGTCTGGAACAATGACCACTGTGGTGGAAAAAAAAAACCAAGGTTCCACGTCACTGAGACAATGTGAAGAGCAATTTGCTTTGAGATTGCACTGTTAATTTCAGCGCGCAGGGTTGTACTCTGACACTGTGTGTGAAAGTAAAGGAGAGGCCTGCCCTGTGGCTTTCTGTAAATCACACTGAAGCCTTTACGAGGTTGTAAATTTGAGACCGATGTCTCAGCAGTCAGAGGAACTTTAGGAGTAGAAATGCATGTGGGACAGCATGAAGATAATATAAATCAACCATCCCCCCAGCAAACATCCATTAATCGCAGTGTCCATCATGTTCAGCTGAAGGCGTCCGTCTTGTCGGCGATGGGCAGTGACAAGATACAGGGATTGCACTGGGGGTATAGATTACATCTCATCCTGCCGGTCCGCTTCCAGAGACGACTTGCTTAGTGGAGGATGACAAATCCTGCAGGAGAGAATATCTCACACTGAAGGAAAACAATGCCTACACGATCTGTCATCAAACCTGTCAGATGACACAAAAGGGGTGCCACAGCAAACCGCATGTATGATAGCAGAAGGTGATCTGTGGAAATCGGGATCGTTCCAAACCTCAGAGAAGGGGCCTAGCTCTCCTGTGCTGCTCTGCATTTTGACTGCAGGCTCCTTTGTATATTATTCCAAAACATGAACCAAAACACAGTTTCAGAAACCACAAGTGGAGATTGTGTGGAATATATACTGTGGCAAAATCCACATACTGAAACAACAAAAGCTTGGTTGCTCTCTCAAGTGGTTGTGGAGGTGATAGTGTGGTTTCACTAATCTGGATGTCTTTTCACACACTAACTTGTATGTGAGGATAAAAAAAAACTAAACTCCACTTTCTTTGTCAATTAGAAAAAAAAACAAACCAAAACAAAAAAACAGAACCATAACAATTCAGTCACAGGTCAGCGCTATGAGCGCTGGCTAATCCATTTACCGATCGATGCAGTGTGCAGGAGTCAGCACGTTAGGTCAAGCTGACATTTAGTTCCAAAGTACATGGAGGAAAAGGGAGGAAGAGCAGAGAGGAGAAGCATTGCTCCGGGGCCCCTTCAGCCAAGAAGAGACTGATTGAGTTTTTCAGTGAGTTGATGGAACTTCAGCAGCTCCATGTGCTCACAGAGTAAGATAGAGTGTATCTTCTCTGTGGCCTCTGAAAAGAGATCCCACTGACCCTAAACTGAGCTGCTGATTCAGGCAACCGTGGCTTGTTTTTAAGAGCAAAATTCAAGACTTCTGCTAGAAAAATGTAGAAATGAGAATGTAAGGAAGAGGGAGGGGGAAAAAAAGCACTAAATCCCTGCAGACCTTTTATCGTGTCTGCATCTGGGCGCCAAGCCTACAACATCAGGCACACATTTTTCAACTGGGCTTTTTCCAAACAAGCACACCACTTGGCTGAACCCTTTGCCAAGTGTAAAACAGAGCTCATTACCGAATAATGTGCTCGCAGGCTCACATTTGAAATGTGTAAGTAATTGTAAAATATGTAGTAGGAGAAGGAGAGAGCCATCAAACCTATATCATTTGGGGGAAAAGTGCAGATTTTGCATTTTTGGCTGGAAATAGTAGTGGAAGGTTACAGCCATGGAGGATACGAGAAGCTCCTGCACACATGTACGCTCCTAAAAAATTCATATAGAGAATCTGCTGAGTGCATCTGGCTCATTTAAGACTCACTGACGGTGCTTTTGACACATGATAATAGAGACAAGGGAGACTGCATCTTATTGCTGGCTTGGTCACAGCCCTGCTGTGACAAATGACTCATCAAATCCTCCCCTCTAAAGCCCTGATGCATCAAGGGGGCTGAGTGGTACTTCCCTTGGATCTCAAGGTAAATCTCTCTCGATGAAGGTCTCTGAGGTGCATGTGCATGAATTTATGTGCATGCTGGTGAACTTACTTGACCCTCTGGATCCAGATGCAGTAGTCCGTGATGTATAGATCGTTCAGTATGTAGGCCGGGTCATTCTCTCGGAAGACTCTGTGAATATCCAGCAGACATCTGAGGACACAGGCTTTCCCTGGGCACAGGATCA